AAGATAACTCAAATGCTAAAATTAAGGAATTAATGCTCCATGTAAAGTTAACATCATGGCCATGTACTGCACCTATAATTACTCCCATTATTTTTAACCAATTAACTAACTACTTGGTTTAATATTACTAATAATAATAATAGCATTATTATTATTATAACATTGCCTCCTTTAAACCAAGTTGGATATATTGGTCATCCCAATTTCCTTCTTCAATTTAAGAAATGTCTCCGTCTTCAAGTTGGATATACGGACTTGTATTTCGTTTTGTAAACCCACTTTACTCCAATTGGCTTCTTCCCAAGAGGTACATCTGTTAACTCCCAAGTACCACTCTTTTCAATGGCACGAATCTCCTCATCCATCGCCTTAAGCCAATGAGTTTCTGTAGCAGTCTCCTCAAAAGTTAAAGGATCACAATCTGCAAAGAGAGCAAATTGAACAATCTCTTCATCAGACAGGTCATTATCATGACCCAAAACATAATCTTGCAAGCGAGCTGGTAAGTGGCGCTCGCGCTGAGATCGTCGAATGACGATTCTGGCTGCGAAGGAGACTGGACATTATCTGGAATCGGTTGCTCATCAACAATATTTTCAACAACAGGAATAACAACTGAACTTTCATCTTCAGCTAACCAATCCCAAGCACCATATTCATCAAAAGTGACATCACGACTTATAACAACCTTTTTAGTTTCAGGATTGTATAGTTTATAAGCCTTTGAAGCGTCACTATAACCAATGAATATGCATTTCTCACCTTTATCATCCAACTTCTTTCTCAATGGATCTGGCACATGTGCATATGCCAAACATCCAAAAACCTTGAGATATTTGATAGAGGGTTTTCTCCCACTCCATGCTTCTTCGGGTGTCTTATCACTGACACTTTTAGTTGGACACCTATTCAACACATAGACAGCACAAGCAACAGCTTCTGCCCAAAAAGGCTTAGGCAGATTCTTGGATTTCAACATGCACCTTACCATATCCATGATAGACCTATTCTTCCTCTCAGCCACTCCGTTTTGTTGTGGAGTGTATCTAGCTGTCATTTGGTGCTGAATACCCTTCTTCTTCAGAAAATCATCACAGGCAATATATTCTGTACCTCTATCAGTTCTCAAGATTTTAATTTCATAACCACTCTGCTTTTCAACAAAAGCCTTAAATTGTTTGAAAACATCACATGCTTCAGACTTTTGCTTCAGAAAGTAAACCCATGTTTTTCTACTGAAATCATCAATGAAAGTAATAAAGTACTTACAACCTCCATGTGAGGGAACCTCCAACGAACATAGGTCTGAGTGAATAATCTCCAACTGTTTTGTAGCTCTCCTTGACTTGCCCACGGGAAAGGGATCTCTATGCTTCTTCCCAATCACACAAATCTCACAGATACGATCAGGGACATTCACAACAGGTAAATCAGAAACAAGTTCCTTTCTCGCAAGATAGTTTAACCCAGAGAAATGGAAATGCCCAAACCGCATATGCCATAACCAATTATCATCACAAACTTCATAATTAAGGCAATCAATGAGAGTATGCTTAATTTTCAAAGGAAATAGTCGATTTTGGGACATATTTACCTTTGCAATCAAAACTCCTTTAGCATCTTCAATGGTACAACACCCTTGAGCAATATGTATCTTATATCCTTTTTCTGACAACTGACCCAAACTCAACAAATTTTGGTGTAGTTCAGGAACATAGAACACATCGGATATAAAATTGTGAGTACCATCCTTCAACTGAATAGAGATTTTACCTTTTCCCAAAATTGGCACCTTTGACTTATTGCCAAATGTCACTTCAGACCGGACTGATTCATCCAGTTCAGAAAACAATTCTTTCTTCCCACACATATGGTTAGTACACCCAGTATCCAAGAACCATATGTTTTTATCTGCAGAAAAACTATCGCTGGCTAAAAGTAAAGTTTCAGAACTCTCACCAGACTTTTCAGCAGTATTTTCAGCAATGTTTGCTTGATTTCCACAATTGTTGTCCTCATTATACCAACAATCTGCAATCTTGTGCCCATACTTGCCACAATTGTAGCAATGAAATGGAAATTTACCTTGTTTGGTATTACCTCCACCTCTTCCTTGGTTGGAGTTACCACGTCCTCCTCCTTGGTTGAAGTTACCACGACCTCTTCCACTAGAACCTCCCCTTCCTCTTCCACGACCTCTACCAGATCCTCCACCTCTTTGATTAGTGCCAGTCACATTAAGGGTAACTTGGCTCTTCAAAGCTTCTTCTGCTAGTGGTTCCGATTTTGACGCAATCCTGTCAATATGACTTTCTATCATACCTTTCAGCTCTGCAATTGATAAGAGCTCAGTTTTGTGTGACTCTGTTATCGAAGCCACCACATGGTCATACTTCATCGGCATAGTTCGAAGAACTTTTTCAACCACTGCACCATCTTCAATCGTATCTCCATATAGCCTCATCTTATTCACCATATCAATAAGACGAGTGAAATACGCATCTACTGTTTCTGTAGAGGTCATCTCACAATTATCGTACAACCTTCTCAACGACTGCAACTTAGACTTCTGTGCCCGATCGACTCCTTTGTTTGACACCTTTAAGATGTCCCAAGCTTGTTTTGCTGTTTGAGCACGAGCTAATTGCCCAAAAATGGAATAATGAACACCTTGGTGAATCTGACCCAAGGCCAATTTATCTCGCCGTATAGCGGCTGCATCAGCTCCTTCGGGTAGACCGGGATCAACAAAGCTCCAAAGATTTTGAGCTTGCAAATATGTGGACATCATAATTTGCCAATAATTGTAATCGAGTTTCCCGTCCAATTTGGGACCCGTCCATACAATATTGAAATTTGCAGCCATATTTCACTACGGAAAATATCTCGGGGTTGAAAGGTTGACTGGCTCTGATACCAAATGTTAGATATATTAAATATAATATATTTAATATAATATATATTAAATATAATATAATATATCTATAATATATATATAATATATATTTGAGAAGAGAGAGAGGGGGAGGAATGCTTAACACTTGATTGATAATAAAAGCTTGAATACAAAGACTATTTATACTAGATAAGATAACTCAAATGCTAAAATTAAGGAATTAATGCTCCATGTAAAGTTAACATCATGGCCATGTACTGCACCTATAATTACTCCCATTATTTTTAACCAATTAACTAACTACTTGGTTTAATATTACTAATAATAATAATAGCATTATTATTATTATAACATACGGCGGTGGCTATGGGCTGTGTGGGATGCTTGCCGCGGGACTGTTGTTTGTTGAGACCGAGAAAGAAAAAGGAAAAAAAACAAAGGGAAAATATAAAAAGAAAAAGGAAAACAAAACTAAATTACATATTTACCCTGACTTAACGGTATACACTAACAGGGAACCACAGGTCCGCGGGAGGGGCTATATGTGCACCGTTTTGATAATTGAGGGACAACATTTACACCACTCATAATTCAGGGGTGACATTGTTAATTGGCATATTATAGAGGGACATTTTTTACAATTTCCCCTAATAATAATGAAACACATACATTAGGATCCACATAAGCATTAGTCTATGTTAGAATGAAGCACAAAGAGTTAATAGTCCGTAGTCCGCTTCCACTAAAGTTTGAACTCACAACCTCCACATAAGAGAACAACTTAATACCAGTAGATCACAAAGTCCTTGACTGATTGCATTTTTTGATAGTTTAATCGGGGTTTAATTGATTTTTTAATTTTTCAGTTAGCAGGGGTGTCAATTGCACTATTTGTACAACTTAGATTAGATGCTAATTAGATCTTCTTCTTTTTTTTCCCTTCAAAAAAGATAATTGAAATAATCAATACATTATAGATAAAGATGAAACATATATAAAATTGAACAATATTGTAACAAACTTATCACGTAAACTGATTTCATTTATTACCATAACAAACTTATCACGGTAACTTTCACTATTGACTACACCATTTCGCACGTATAATACGAATATAGCTAGTATAATACAAATAAAGATGTAGAAAGTGTCATTAAAAAACATAAATTGATAATATTTACATAAATCTTGAACGAATACTTCTCATTCCTAATTTGAAATTAAGAAATGCTATCCAAACATAGTCATAACATGACATTGCACAGAACTCAATGAAACTAAACCAACTTCTCCTCCAATATGGGTTTATGCACAGTACTGCAACCACGGTTAACAACATAACTGTGTAAGCTATAAGAAAGCTTATGTAGAATGATTTCATGTCCATAAAATTATTGCTTTCTTCTTTGCCATTTCCATGTAACAACACTTGTGGAGGCAGTTCTTTATAGGTGCAAAGGTTGCTAAGTGGAGGGCCACAAAGAAGAGCATTTCCTTCATAACTGCTTGCATCAAATGTTGCAAATTGAGCTTTACGATCTGGGATGGGACCACTTAAATTGTTGTGTGCTACACTGAACACTTCCAAAAAATTGAGTTGAACTAGTTGAGCAGGTATTCTCCCATTTAACATGTTGTAGGAAAGATCTAAACTCTCGATCTTTGTAAGACCTGATAAGGTTATCGGGGTGCCACCCATGAGATTGTTGTGTGAAAGATTCAAAGCATAAATTTTGCTCAAGTTTCCAAGATCAAGAGGAATGTTCCCAGTCAATTGGTTGCAAGATAGATCAATTCCCAACATGTATTCCAACACAATTCCTTGAAAAGAACGCGCTTGCAACTTGGTAGTAAATTCGGCCCGGATGTTGTGAGTATCAAAGAAATTGTACTCCTGATTATATAGTATAGCCAAAGGAAGGTGAAATGTCTTTGCGAATCTGCTTGTTTTCAAGTACGAAACTGGAATTTCCCCATGCAAATGGTTGTTACTAAGGTCTAGTGATTCTAGATGGAAAGAAATGGTAGAGAGACTATCAGGTATCTTGCCCACAAAGTTGTTGTTGTCAAGTTGCAAGACTATCAATTCAAATGTGTGTAGAGGTCCTGGAAATATTTGGCCTTGGAACTTGTTATTTGACAGTTTCAAAAGGTATAAATTAAAGAGTGACAATTAGTAGCTAACTTCTGTGGCAATTCCCCTGTCAGGTTGTTGTTAGACAAATCAAGATACCTTAAGGAATTAAGGTCACCAAAACTAGAAGGTAAGCTACCAACAAGGTTGTTCCAAGACATGGTTAGTGCCTCCATGTTTGGAAAGGCAACATTTATATTTTCTGGGATTTGTCCACATATGTTGTTCTCAGAGATATTGACAGTGGTAAGGTGGAAATTAGGTTTTTGTGGAAACTTGAGGTTTCCTTTAAAAGCATTGCCACCCAAGTAAAACCCTTCTAGTTTTGTGTTATTTTCCAACAACCAAGCAGGGAAATCACCTCCAACATTATTACTTGACAAATCAATGATTCTTAACTCATTTTGGTGAAGAAGAAAGCTTGGTAATCTAGGATATTGCCCTACACAATTGGAGAGACTAAGAAACTCTAGTTTGTAGGATGGGGTAGTAGGGTTTTTGAAACTAGTTTCCAAAATCACTTCATTGTTGGCGGCAAATATGGATTTGAGATTTGAGCAGGGTTGCAAAAATCCCGCCTAGGCACCGGTAATCGCCGCCTAGGCGCTAGGCGCCCCTAAGCCGTGGCAATTTCCCCCCTAGGCTCCCGCCTAGGAGACCGGCCGCCTAGGCACCCGCCTAGCGCCTAATTCGGCCGCCTAGCGCCTAACTCGGCCGATTACGCCGAGTTTACTCGTCAATTTCTGTCGAGTTAGCCGAGTTAACCCGATCGACTTGACCTTGATAATTTTTTTCATTTATATATATATAATTTTGTTTTTTGAAAACCATAGTTTTGATGTTATGACTTATGAATTATCATTAATTCATTTATTTGGATGTGTTATTTGAATAAATGTTGAAAACAACCTCATTAAAATTGTCAAACTGCAAGTCTACCACTGTTTTTTTGGCGCCCGCCTAGCGCCGTCTAGATTCCGCCTAGGCGCCGCCTAGACCGCTTAGGCGCTAGGCGCTGCCCGGGCGCCCGACTAGCGCCTAGCGCCTATTGCAACCATGGATTTGAGTGATTGCTAAATGAGTCAAAAGAGATGGGGATTTGGAAGTGGTTATTCGGAATAGTTAAAGCTTCAAGTGATGTTAATCTAGATAAGGCGGAGGTAGCTATGTTACCAGAGAATTGATTAGATGATAGATCAATCAATCGAAGTGAAGTCAAGTTTCCTAGACAAGGGGGAAGCACTCCATTGAACTCGTTGTTACTAAGTCTGAACTCTTGGAGGTTTTTAAGCTCACACCAACCTACAAAAAAAATAAAATGCTTATAGTTAAAAAATTTAATAAGTTCAAGTCACTATAACTAAAAGCAGTGTTGTAAAAATCGACCTAGTCGCTTCTAGGCCGATGCGATTTTAGCCATAGGCGGCTGTTAGTTGGTTGGCTGATTAGGTGCCCTAGGCACTGAGTTGGGCACCTAACTGTACCTAGTTGGCGCGCGCAACTAGGCTGAGTCGATGCCCAACTCGGTCGAGTGGTATTTTTCGACTGTTCGGTTGTTCTTTTTCTATATTCCTCCAGCATGTACTCAACTAATCATCTAACATATGTAGTTGACTAGTTTGTAACATTATAATAGTCTAACAACTCCTGAGTGAGAAAAATAAAGACGATATACTCAAATTACTCGACCACCTAAGAGACACCTAGGCGCCAGGCGCCCTCGGGCTCCCGACTAGCGCCTAGCGCCTTCTGCAACATTGACTAAAAAATCGACATGCATATTTGTTGAGTAAAACAAATGTTACGTGGGAAAACATGAAAATGTTAGTTGTATATATACCTTTATTAGGCAAGGATCCACTAAGTCCACACCCAGAAAGTGAAATAACTTTGAGATACTTCAATCCTCCAATGCTGCTAAAGACATTTTTGTCATGAGGGGAACCATCCAAGATCAGATTTTCCAATTTGCTCAGATTTTTCAAGTCTAAAAATAATTATAAACCATATTATTTTAGATTTGACAACATATATACATCTGCGATTAAATTAAAACACTTAAAATAGAAAGCTAATTAATAACAAAACTTACAATGAGTTTCTGCAATCACATTATGTTGAAAGTAGAGGGTGTTGAGTGATGGAAAAACTGTCAAAGATTGTAGCAATTTGCTGTAGTTGGAGGTTGATTTATCTAGTCCATCTAGATGTAGCACTTGAAGATGGCTGCTTACATTTACAATGCCTGATAAAGTGATAAGTGATGATGATCATTACAATTTAGACTAATATACATAATTACAGTTTTAAAGGCAATTCTAATTAAATTATATTATTCATAATAAGTATAATAATCATTTATCAATATAATCTTCTTTCAACCTTTAATAAATACTAATGGAGTTAGTTCTAGCATAGGACCCTTAATTAGCTTAGCTTGTCTTTGAGGACAATTCCAAATTTAATCACACACTATTATTGTTATCATTTAACATCTCAAACTATCATATTTTGAACATTTCGATGACTTTTCCTTGAAACCCTCAAAAGAATTGATTTAGGTATTTGGAGCTGGTGAAGGAGATGAAAACAAAAGAGCAGGGTGAAGGAGCAGTTGAAGACGAAAATCGAGGAAAAAACAAAAATAAACCGACCAGAAAACCAAAACATAAAAATAAAATTTCAAGAGACGAAAATATCATTGACTAAAATAAGATTTCACCATAAAAGTCATCGGAAAGGATCAAATTAAAGTGTCCAAAATATGATAATCTAAGATGTTAAATGATAAAAACGATAACTGGGACTAAATTTAGAATTTCCACCAAAAACAAAAAATTTCCGTTGAAATGAACTCAATACTAATTAATCTCCTAGCATAGCAATTAGTAAAACTGCATGCACCATAGCAAGAGTTCTACTACATATACTCCCTATTTCTATTTCCTCACTTTTACTCCTTAATGTGACAATTGTGAGATGAAGTATAAATTGAGAATATAATTTGAGAGTAGGAGTAATATTTTTCCTATAGCAATTTGAGTGACTAGGGAAACCCGCAACTACTATTCGAGGGTAGGCACCGGATAAATCTCAACTTATGATCTTAATTGATAAAGACCGACAATGAAGTAAACCAATCTAAATTGTCCATAGTTAATCGACTCAAATTAAGAAGGTCAATAGAATTCATAAAATATCTGTAAATTAGGACTCGTATTGCCATACCTTTAGTGGTGATAAAGTTGTCGACTCCAGTCTCACTTAAATCCAATTCTTCCAATTTGGTCAACGCGAGTAGCTCTTAAAAGAAGATTATAAAAGTGAGTGAACAAAAAATATATACATATATAATGATATTAAGCTAAAATATAATATTTTTTATATGTTTATAAAAAAGTATTATATGTCTTATCTGAGATGTTCTCACACAAAACCAACTCATATATAATTGTGATAGATATTGGAAATGATGGAAAAATGTCGATCAATTTCCCATTGAAATTGGAAACTAACCGTTTACTTGTAGTGATCCTTTTATAGCATCATTTGCAGAAAGGTCTAAGAACCTTAACGATGGAAACTGCTTAAGACTTGAGAATATGGAATTATTGAAGCTATTATCTCGTAAATGCAGAATTTTCAAATTTGGTAGGCCTGCCAAATTAAAGTATATCAAAACCAACATACACTTGTAAATAATGTTTGGTCAAAGTACGCAAGAGGTTTCTGTACTATATAGTATCCTTTTTTTTTCTTTTGAAAATTATTTTCTTTAATTATACTTTTTAAAGTACATGTAATAAATTGAACAAAATTAAAATAGAAGAATTTTGAACAAAATACTATAGTACATGGACCTCGTAGGTACTTTAACCTATAATGTTTTTAAATATTTAGTCATGAACATTGTATTGTCAACCCAAATAAGATATGCATATACACACATTAAATCTTTGATAACATTTACTTAATATTTAGTCATGAACATTTTATTGTCAACCCAAATAAAATATTTCATATACGCACATTAAATATTTGATAACATTTACTTCTCAATCGATTCAAATAAAAATCGTTGATAAAAATGAAATTCACTCTGAGATACTCCGTATTTGATTTTTTACACTATCAAATTTGCTATCTTCGTTCTACATGCACCTTGTTCTCATTTGATTTTATATATATATACTAGTTTTTTACGCGCATTGCGCGATTGGCATAATGCCCAATGTTGTTCTTTTAAATAAGTACTTTAAAGTATATCAAAGCAAGATTATATTAGAATTGTTCATGCATAGATAATTGAATGTTATATTTGCTTATTTAAATAGGCAATTCTAAGTTTACAAATGCAAGATAATATAGTCAAGATTGATTATAATTGTCAATAAAATAATTGTATAGGTATGATTGAAACCAAATACGGGATATAAGGGAGAGGAAATAAAAAATATGGCATAAAATATTAAATATATACTAATATTGAAGAGCTAACTGCTTATTGTCAAACAAGGACATTGCAAGATAGTTTCCCACTTCAATTTGTTGTGTGATTTGAATACTCGTTTTATTAATAAATCCCCAAGTAGTTAATATGATTGGCTTAATTATATATATATTTTTATTTTTTTTAAACAATTATTATTATTATTATTATTATTATTATTATTATTATTATTATTATTATTATTATTATTATTATTATGTATACTCTTAGGTCATTTTACATGTTAATCTAAATAGCTAATTTTTTCAAATATCTTTTTACCAACCGTTGATATAATTCGCTGGTCAAATTCGCTAATATAATCCGCTAACGCTAACCGCTAACTGCTGATTATCAAACAAGGACATTGCGAGTTAGTTCTCACTTCAATTTGTTGTGTGATTTGAATACTCCCTTTGTCAACAAATCCCTCAAGTAGTTAATATGATTGACATTATTAATTATATTTTTTTAATTTTTTCATGGTATTAACAAATACTTGGTAAATAAATATATAGCATCATTTTGTATTATAGCTTTGATATTTAATTAAAAATAGTGCACAAAAAAAGATAATAGACAATGTAGTGAATATAATCAATTTTGATGAATTTGAATGTAAAGAATTTTTACATTGGATAAATATTTGAATGTAAAAAATTTTTACATTAGATAAATATAAAGACAATATAACTAATAAAATTATTTCTCTTAATTAATAATGAATAATTTTTTTTAATAAAGACATTGTAGGGATCGGATAATGTAGTGAATATAATCAATTGATGAATTTGAATGTAAAGAATTTTTATATTGGAGAAAAATAAATACAATATAACTAATGAAATTATTTTTTTTATTTAATTTATTAATAATGAATAATTTTTTTTGAATAAAGACATTGTAGACACATAATTTTAAATTAAAGAAATGCATATGTATTATTTTTTGTTGTAGCTACTAAATATAGAGTACTAATTATGCCAACTTTGATTGGGATGGGGTTCGAACCTAAGACCTTTCTTATTGAAATTAATGAGTAAGTTAACGGTGAACTAACAAAAATTAACGGAAAAGATAATATTTAACGGAAAAGTTAACGGATAATCATATTCATTGAGGATAAATTAGGAAATCTTAAGGAAAAATTAAAATCTGATCAATCTGAGCCATTCATTTGATTAAAAAATTTGACCGCCATTTTTTCTACCCATTATAGGTCTAACTCTCTTGGGCTCTTATTAGTATATATATATATATATATATATATATATATATATATATATATATATATATATATAGGGAAGGGATCATGTTTAATGGAGTGAAAATGGCTATTTTATAATTTCTTAATACCGGATTTATAAAATAAAATTTTGGGTTGTTACAGAACCCCATCCCAATCAAAATTGACATAATTGTTAAACATATAATATGAATATGTTGGAGTATTTTTTTGAAAACCAAAAACTTCTCGTATTGCATGCATTAACTCATAGCAGAAGAAATAAAGGGAGGTAGAGAATCCCTCCAGACTGATCGTGCTTCAACCGCACTTACATGTTTTGCTAAGGCATGAGCTACCAAGTTAGAGTCTCTGCGTATAAACTTAATAGAACAAGCGGAAAAAGAATTAAATAAACGCAAACACGAATCTAAGACAATACCAAGATATGAACGATAAGAACTGGCATCCCGAAAATTAGCAACGAGAACCGCACAGTCCGATAAAATCTGAACATTGTGGTAACTGTGATCTTGTAACCATGAAAGAGCCTCACGTATCGCCATGGCTTCAGCTATGAATATGTTGGAGTATATTAAACAAATACAATATAAAATTTAACATTAACAATAGATTTTTTATGATCCAATTGAAAGTTGATTATAAAAATTTGTAAAAGTCAATAGTCAATAGACCATTAAATGTATTTGAAAATTTTAAACTATGGATTAATTTTGTATGGATTATAAATTATTTTGAACTTATTAATTATTATATTGGTTTTAAAAATTATATTAATATTTGTTTAAACTAAATAAACTATTTTAGTACATAATAGTTAACTTTTTAACTAGATATTTTAGGATTTTGATGGGCCGACCGACCTACTATAACTCACTATGTTGGGTGGACTATCATTTTATAAAGGCTACATTGACAATATCGGTGTATCTTATAAAGGTTCAGTTTATTTTTATGACTTTTTCAGGCAGAAAATTTTGTACCTTGAGTTTCGATTGTTGTACATCGACAAAATTCGGTCTATTTTGTCCTTGCCGATGCGTCGGTGTTTGTAGTAAGAAAACTGTTTAGACGGCAAAGGTGATACTATTCCGGTCGCATGGGCCCGCGTCTCTGCAGTCATTTGCTTAGTCACGTTTTACTAATCACGTGTTGCCCATACTCATCGTATTCCGGTGGACTGATATTGAACAAAATTTTGTGTATATTTTTTTAATTTTGTTACATGTTTTTTTTCGGATTTAGATGTCTTTTTGTGGATTTTCGTGTGTCGATTTACTCATTTCACTGCATCAATTGTTAGGAGACATCACATGGAAATTGCAACAGCTTACAGACCAATTTCGATTACATTTATATTAAATTAAATAAATACAAAATCCTCATCACCATACGTTTGTTGGGATGATAAAAATAAAAGAATACTACCTCGGTTATGTAGTCATGTACTTGTGCAAAATAATTAAATAGATATTTTTTTTTGAAAGCAGATATATTAATATATTACATGTAAAAGTTCATACAAATAAGATTTTATTGTGTTTACAGTCGATGCAAATCGTTTCTTCAGCTCCACATTTTTTTCCTTTGCGGGTGCCTCTATTCGTCCGACCCATTCGTTCCGGCCGATTTTTATTTATTTGATGCTTGGTTTTCGTTCAGCTACGTTCCATTTTATTTTTTTGGCCGTGTCCCAAGAACCACAATATGAGATGGTCGTTCTCCAAAATATTTTTACGGGCCTTCTTCAGATACATCTACGTAGCTGTCGCCTCTATTCTTCCTTGCCCCGTACCCTCTGTGTCCTTCCGCTGCTTTCTCTGTTACGAATAAGATTAACTTCTACTGAAAGCTGGTTGCGAGTCGTTTCTTCAGGGCACCTATTCACAATTACAAATCAAATAAGTATGAGTTGAACATTGGTGATGATGCTTGTGACTTGAAACTGCAAAAGTCTGAATGTGGTAAGATTAATTTAGTTGTATAGTCTATGAATGTGATGTATTAATATTTAGGATTTAACAAGTTGGTGCTAATTTTTGTTTGTACAATAATATTGGATTTCTTTTGTACATTGTTTTTAATATTATAATCAATATTTTTTATATTCTAAATAAAACAATTAAAATGTTTTTTTTTTGAAAATACAATTAAAATGTTTAATTATACCATTATACTTATTTTTTAGAAAATGAATCAAACATCAAGACAGTTTTCCAAAATGCAACCAAACATTAAAAATGAAACTATTTTTTAAAAAATGACTCATTTTTCATAAGTCATTTTCCTGATTTTTAAACACACCCTAAGAGGGCCATTTCTTCCCATTTTAAATAAACACCAGGTTGAGGACCAGTATATAATACATAACAGGTAAATAGCTTTTTCTTTAATTGTTTTTCGAAGTGAAAATAATTTGCCAGAGCATTCAAAATATGAACTTTTATGGGTTTATTTATTTATTTATTTTTATAGATAAATCCCATATGTTGTCTATGGGGCATTTCTCATCTTTGTGGAATTTGTCTCTTAAATTGATTTTTTTAGGGAAAGTCTTTAATTCGATCAAATTTAAAAATTTTCTCCATGCCGAAAGTTTGAAATTTCTTGCAAGACTCAATATGAATGAGCTATTCACCTAGTAGTTTTCTAGATAATAAATTAAAAATTTTATTATCTTTTCCTTTAATATGTTCTTATTTGATTTTAAATCTTCCATTAAAAACAAATTTTTTAAAAATTAACCATCTATGTTTTACATCAAAATGTAAAATTATTACATTTATGGTGTGTTTGGAAACATGGAAAATGAGTTCTGGAAATCATTTTCCAAGTTTCCATTGTTTGGATGTGCTTGGAAAATTAAGTCAACGGAAAATTATTTCCGTTGACTTTGGAAAATAAGCTTGTTTTGGAAGAAAATGACTTCTTTTTTTTTTTTTTTTTGGGAAGTCATTTTCCAACTTTTACACCAACATCACACCACCACCAACATCATCAACACCATACCACCACCACCTCACTACCACCATCACCACCACTACTGCCGCCGCCACCACCACTATACCACCGCAACCACCGCCACCACACTACCACCACTACCACCACCAACACCATACCACCGCAACCACTACCACCACCAACAACACCAACACCATACCACCACCACCACCACCATACCACTGCAATCATCGCCGCCGCCACCACCGCAACCACCACCACCATCACGTCGCCGCCGCCACCACCATACCACCACTACCACCACCACCGCCGCCACTACCACCACCATACTACCGCAACCACCGTCGCCGTCGCCACTACCACCACCATACCACCGCAACCATCGTCGTCGCCGCCACCACCACTACCACCGCCGCCGCCACCACACCACCGCAACCACCGCCGCCACCACCACACCACCACCATCACACCACCACAACCATCACACCACCGCTGCCGCCACCACCACCATACCACCGCCACCACCACACCACCACCACCGCCGCCACCACCGCCACCACACCACACCACCACCACTACCACCGCCGCTGCCACCACCACCACCATACCACCGTCGCCGCCACCACCACCACCACCACCATACCACCGTCGCCGCCACCACCACCACCATCACACCACCACCGCCACCACCACCATACCACCACCATACCACCACAACCACCGTCGTCGCCACCACCACCATACCACCGCAACCACCACCACACCCCACCATCACACCACCGACGCCGCCACCACCACGACCATACCACCGCCGCCACCACCACCACCATACAACCGCAACCACCGTCGTCGCCATCACCACCACCACCATACCACCGTCACCGCCACCACACCATCACCACCACCACCACCAGTTATTATTATTATTATTATTATTATTATTATTATTATTATTATTATTATTATTATATAACAAATAACACCACTACTATTACATCACCATAATATTTTTGATATATTATTAGTTATTTTTTTATTATATTTAAAATCATTATTATATTATATTATTATACATGTTGTAATATTCTAAATAAAATAATTAAAATGTTTAATTATACAATTTTACTCATTTTCCAGAAAATGAACCAAACACACAAAAACAGTTTTCCAAAATGCAACCAAACACTGAAAAGGAAAATATTTTTCGAAAAATAACTCATTTTCCATAAAACATTTTCCAGAAGTCATTTTCCTGCTTTCTAAACGGACCCTTATCTCCAAAAATATTATATTTTTCGTTATTAAATATTATTAAATTTTTGTATTGACTCAACCCGTGAACACGGACAAAATTTGTAACAATCTTTTTCAAGAATGGTTTCAAAAAAAAAAAAAAAAAAAAAAAAACAGATTTCAAAGAAAGAATAAAAGTTGAAGAGTGAAAGAGAGATGATTTAGCATAGGAAACTAGACAGTTAGCAGCATGGAACAAAATTTGCCCCCAGCAACAAAGCTGGAATACTTTGACAACATGTCTAAGCTTCATACTACTGCTACCCTTCTTTCTTCCTTTCGGGTATGTCCTCGCATCCTCAACCCTGTTCTGCATACTACCCTAAAAGTTCTACTAATATGCTGCCTGTATAAACCCATTTCTTAGTTTCTGAAATTAATGTTGGGACTTTATTATAAAAATCCCAACTTTGGGTTGTTTCTTTGATCAAGGGGGAAGATGGTAGAGATGTGATTATTCTGGACTCATCAATTTTTCATCCGCAAGGTGGAGGTCAACCCGCAGACACTGGTTTTATTTCCCGTTCGAACCTCAAATTTGTTGTCCAAGATGTTAGATCCAAGGATCAGATTGTATGTTTCTTGGTCTTGTCTTTTCTGATCATTTATTTTCCAATAATTCCTTGCCCACAAGGCAAAATTCCTAGCTCCGGGCCCACACCCCTACTGATAATTCCATGTGTCTGGTTTTGTGTTGTACCTCAAACTTTTACTTTGCCCCATGGAATTTTATGGTGATGGCAGGTTTTTCACTTTGGATTTTTTGAAAATTCTGGAGATGGGGTATCAAATTTGAAGCTTGAGAAAGGTGCTGAAGTTTCGTTATCTGTGGATGAGCAAAGGCGCATGCTCAACACTCGGTATACAGCTTTCAAGAATTAGCTTTATACAGTAAAATTATTGTCATTTTCTGTATGCATCTAATTTTGTGAGTAATAATTTGTCTAATATATATATATATCATTGTGTGAATGTGGTGCATATATTTTAATTAGCTTCTAAAGTATGGAGTGCAAAAAGAATTATAATTTAGTGAAGGTTGAAAGCCTATCTGATAATCATATGTAATGAGGTGAATGTATTTGCTTGCAGTAGAATTTTCTACTTCATGAAAATAGCCTATCAAAGTGCATATATAGAACTCGAGATGCATGTGCAATGGCTTGTGTGTAATATGCAGAGTATGAAGGTAGTGTGGTGACAATGTACTGGTCACATAGAACTAAGACTACTAACATAATCGTCCGTAGCTCAGTTGGTTCCTGGGTGGAAAATTATGGGCATGGACACAAGGTTGACACCAATCTGATGGGCTCTTTGTGGGCACCATGCACTGGTCCTCCTACCTAATGGGCCACTGAGTCACCGTGATTTATCATCCCCACAAATCAGGTCAGGTCTGGGTGTGGGGGTCCTCGAGGCGAGGGATTTCGCTTTTTGTGGGCAAGACTACAACATAGTTTATCAAAACTTCTTTAAGTATAAATAAATGCAGGGAGAATTTGAAAAGTTATTTTCAACTCAAAAGATGATTATGCAAATTGGATCTGATTAATTGTGGAAGTTTAATATGTTAAACATTGAATTTAGTCTGCGTTACATACTGAAAGTTGGAAGCCAAGCATATTGATCATCTTCTTTATTTGTTAGTCTTAGCTTTTCTTATTTTGTCTCTTCACAGGCTGCACTCGGCTGGACATCTGCTGGATGTGTGTATTGCAAACATTGGATGGGGTCACTTAAAGCCGACCAAAGGCTACCATTTCCCAGATGGGTATAGACAGTTTCAAGGATCTTTTTTTTTTGGGTGTTATTTTAAACATAATATAGCTCTGTTATTATGCTTGCACATAATTTCTGAAATATTAAGGTGGTCCAATTTTAGCCCCTCTTAAAAAATTTTATCACGTAATGCTGAATGTCCAGAAAGTAGGCTGATGCAATTTCCTCTTAACTGACATTTAGACAACTGATCTTTCAGGCCATTTGTGGAGTATCAAGGCACAGTTTCACAGAATGAACTGCAAATTAAGCAAAAGGAGCTGGAAGCAGAAGCTAATAATCTGATTTCTAAGGGGGATAAAGTGTGCTTCTTCCTTTTAATCTTCTAGATCCAACTTATTTTTGTAGGTTACGTTTCTCACATTCAAAGCTTTTCAGGTTTCTGTTTCAACTTTTCCATACGAAGAAGCCCGCCAACTGTGTGGTGGCAGTATCCCTGATTACATACCCAAAGTTAGTGTTTGACCGTTAAGGTTCTCTTTACTTTGTGAGATTCTGATATTCTGTTGACACCATTTTATTCGTTAATATTATTGAGGCTAGTATGGAAGATTGACTTGTCAAAACATTGGATTAATTTAATTACTAATGCAATAGATATGGATCAGATAATCAACTGAAGTACTGAACCAATCACGTAAACTACCTTCAATCCGAAGTTATAAATCTAACTGTTTCCCACTCCATATGGAACAGGGAAGCACTCCTCGGATTGTGAAGTTTGGAGAAAACCCTGGATGCCCTTGTGGGGGCACACATGTTTCAGATGTCTCCGAGATCAAGAGTTTGAAGGTATTATTGTATCTGCTTAGTACTGAGAGGTCCTCCTGATAAGAATATTACGTCATTTGCTCTGACAATTTTCCTTTACAACTCTACGACTTTCTAAACCTTAGCTGCCTCCCGGATTGTGTTTCAGGTTTCTCAAATTCGGACTAAGAAAGGAATGACTAAAGTATTTTACAACATTCCTTTCTAACGGTAAATCACAGTGTCTGAAGATGGTAATATTGTATTGCATAGTGGCATGGAAGCTCAGTAGTGTGGTAGCTTTATGAATTAGGTATGCAATATTGTAAATTTGTAATACATTATTTTAAAGATAGATTCTCCCTTCTGAACATCTTATTTTCTTATTTGTGTCAAATGTATTAGAATATTTTCTTATTCATATAATATATATTTCGGTTGACATTCCCTAAACAAACAAAAGGGCTGCATATATGAAACTGTGATAAATGCAAATGGCCTCAAAGCAACGTTAATGTTCGGCTATTAAATATTAAGGTGTGTTTGGGTGCTTCAATTATAGTGGTATCCGCATTTTCTGTAGTTCCATAGAAGTGGCAGCTCACTAGGAAAACACATATGAAAGTCTATAGGATTTATAAAGAATACTTAGCCATGTTATGTTTCCTGGAGGATTTGATCAAATTTCTTGGAATATGATACCAATATCTTGAATTGACAACTATATAGGATAACATGTTGTTAAATTAGGCAATATACAATGTATTTTCTTTAGATTTCGATGCCCATTAGGCCATGACAAATTGATATAACGCGGAAAAAGAAATGGAGTCAGTGATAGATGAAGAACAAAGAATAAGGACGAAGAACAGACAATGAAAACATGTCTTGATTATACTTCGGCAAATGCATAGATGTTCTCTTTTTGAATACTTATTGGTTATTGGTTGCAGAGAATAAAAACATATCAAAGAATATAGGCCAGCCCATTTTTCCCATGTGGGAAAATGTTAAATTTTTAATATAAAGTAGAAAGCAGTCATCCTAATTAGTACCTTTTGGATTGGATTGCTTTTGTAAAGCTATATCACTAAGCTGCTGAATATCAGGCACTAAGAGAGGCTGGCAAAATGGACAGATCAGAGCTCCCTTCTCATATTTGTTTGGTTAAGATTTTACTAGGATTCTCTGGATAGAGCAAGTACCTTAAGGCTCATAGAGTCATAGGACAGACAAGATGTTTTATTCTCTGCTCCCATGCCCTTCCATAAAGATGCTTTTACGAGTCAATTCTCGAGCAGCATTAGATGCTATTATGCAGTTCTGTGTGAAAAAAAGAACAAATCTTGCACTCAGGAGATGCCATTAAGATTGCTTTTTTTTTTAGAATGACTGACGTTGTAAGTAATTGACTCACATGTTAAATGTTTGGTCGTTAGCTAATCAGCTAAGGCCGGTAAGGATGGAACACAATCCAAACCACAGTTCTTGGTCAATACTCAATACCAGAAACCAATCGTGGAAATATGATTCTGAGTTGTTTGGCATCAGTCAAATGAAAGAAAAGAGGCGGAGGGTGTTACTTTCTTTCAAAAGAATGGGAAAGGGAGAGTATATGTTTATAAACTAATGGCAATTTTTTATAGCCTCAAAGCAGTGATGTGATTGGGAGAATTTAGTCTCACCTCAGCTTGTATTCATTTCCCTTGGAGCAGAAGTCTATATTAGAGCTTCCAATGCCTGGTTTAGCCTCATTGTTAAGCAGAAAGTCGAGAAATTTTTATCAAGAGGCAAATAGATGAAGAGTTGTGTGGCATGGTACCCCGTTATGCTAATGCTGGCCATCGATTTTGCCTTTGCAATTACTAATGTGCTTCTCAAAAAAATTATCATTGATGGAATGAACCATTTAGTCTTCATCACTTATCGACAGTCAATTTCCACCATATTTTTAGCCCCAGTCGCCTTTTTTGTCGAAAGGCATGCTTCTTTTGATTCATTTTGCACTGTACTTTCAGAAATTTGATACCCACAAGAACTTTCTTGTCTACTGTGCTAACAATGAATATTTCTTGCAGGAACACCAGACCAAAACTCACCCCACGCATTCTGTGCCACCTTTTCTTATTAGCGATTGTTGGGTAAGCATTAGTGCATAGGTTCTTATGTTTTTCTCAAGATCATAGAGAATCTGTTTATATAGTACTTAGTTCCATGTTTGAAATCTCGCAGGGCATCTGTTACTCAGTACTTGTTCCTGATTGGTGTCGAATACACATCTGCAACTTTCGCTTGTGCTTTTCTGAACATTGTTCCTGTGGTCACATTCTTAATGGCATTGCCTTTTGGGTATGCACTCTCATTTACCAAAAACAAATCTGCTGTTTCACTGTTTCAGTTAAAGAATTACTTGTTCTTCTTGATTGCATTCATCGCGTGCTTAAAGAAATTGTTGGGCAGAGGCCGGTAAGGCCAAGTCCAGCACCATTTGGCTAGGGGTTGTTGGGCGGAGATCGGTAAAGGGTCAGGTCCAGTAACCTGGCTTTTGAAAATGTGTGGCGGTATAAGGAAATAAAGTTGTGTCTTAGCTACTAACTATAGTTTTTGGCGACTAGTTGGTGCTGGGAGGGGGAATTGTTGGGCAGAGGCCGGTAAGGGCCAAGTCCAGCACCATGTGGCTAGGGGATTGCTGGGCGAAGGCCGGTAAAGGGTCAAGTCCAACACCCTAGCTCTTGAAAATGTGTGGCGGTATAAGGAAATAAAGTTACGTCTTCGCTACTAGCTATAGTTTTTGGCGACTGGTTGGTGCTGGGAGGGGGAATTGTTGGGCAGAGGCTGGTAAGGGCCAAGTCCAGCACCATGTGGCTAGGGGGTTGTTGGGCGGAGGGCGGTAAAGGGTCAAGTCCAGCATCCTGGCTCTTGAAAATGTGTGGCGGTATAAGGAAATAAAGTTGCGTCTTCGCTACTAGCTATAGCTTTCGGCGATTGGTTGGTGCTGGGAGGGGAATTGTTGGGCGGAGGCCAGTAAGGCCAAGTCCAGACCCAAGGCGCTTTATCCTAACAGAAATTGATCTGTCAAAGTAATGATTATGACACAGGTTGGAGAAAATAAGCATCAGAAGTAGCAGTGGAAGGGCGAAAGTGATTGGCACACTAATATGCCTGGGAGGTGCCCTTTTACTGACTTTCTACAAAGGCTTGCCTTTGGTTAAATTTCCACCCTCAGAAGCCGTGGCTGTTGAAGAAACAATCAGACGGGTATCTTCCCAACGACGAGAAAGGTGGATAGATGGTTCACTGGCATTGTTTGCTGGCACGCTGTTTTGGTCCTCGTGGTTCCTTCTTCAATCAAATGTATCCAAGAGTTACCCTTGCCAGTACTCCAGCACCGTTATCATGAACTTCTTTAGCGCCATTCAGTCTGCTGTGCTAACGTTGTGCACTGACAGAAGCGCTTCCATTTGGATCCCGACAAAGAAGATTGACATGGCGAATGTCGTATATACTGTAAGTTCACTCTCCAAGATTGTTGTTCAGTCCCTTGATTATACACGTTTTTAGTGAAAGCAACGAAATTTCTGGAAATGATGCAGGGGTTGGTTAGTTCGGGATTATGCTTCGTGGGAATGTCGTGGTGTGTGAAGAAGAGAGGGCCTGTTTTCACCGCGGCGTTCAGTCCTCTGGTGCAAGTAATGGCAGCCATGGTCGACGTTCCCATTCTACACGAACAGCTCCATCTAGGAAGGTAATCAGTCATACTTGTTAGAATCAAGCGTTTATCACTATACCAAAAGCTTTATAGCTCGTAGCCTATACCTGTTAGGATCAAGTGCTTACCACTAATACTATGCCAAAAGCTATAGGTTGTAGCGAAGACGCAACTTTATTTCCTTATACTGTTACGTTTTCGAGAGGCAGGGTGCTGGACTTGCCCCTTCAGACCTCTGCCCAACAATCCTCTTAGCCACCTGGTGTTGGACTTGGCCCTTCACTGGCCTCCGCCCAACAAGATTGAATGAATCTCACTAATACTATACCAAAAGCTATAGCTCGTAGCCTATACCACTTGTTAGGATCGAGTGCTTACCAGTTACCACTAATACTATGCCACAAAAGCTATAAGTCGTAGCGAAGACGCAACTTTATTTCCTTATATTGTCACGTTTTCGAGAGGCAGGGTGTTGGACTTGCCCCTTCAGACCTCTGCCCAACAATCCCTCTAGCCACCTGGTGCTGGACTTGGCCCTTCACCGGCCTCCGCCCAACAAGATTGAATGAATCTCAATTCCCACAGCCATTTCCCTTGATGGGCTATTCTAAGTTCTAACTATGTTTTTATTGCTACATTCTGGGCAGTGTAATAGGATCGGTGATAGTAATTACTGGGTTGTACATTCTGCTGTGGGGCAAGAACATAGAAATACACAAAGTAGGCCAAGAAAGGGAAGATGAAAAGGACACAGAATCAGCATTTCAAGGAGTTGTTGAAGACAATAATAATTGTGAATCAAGAATACCATGATGATCAGTCTTGTTGTTCATGGAACAATTATTTCTGATCTCATATTCCTCCCTTTATGTTAATTAAAGAAACTCTCTTCTTACTTTCTGTCCTTCCAACATATTTTTGTGGACTGATTTTCCTTTCAATGAATCTATCTCAACACTGCTGTTAGGCTATCTTTATCCCTGCAATACTCTCTCATTTTCAAAATCAAAAATGGGTCATACTTTCACATAATCAAATTTGTAATTTCTCCACTATTTTCTCTACATCTTTGTTATATCTCTCACTTTTAAAAGTGGTCTCATTTTTATATTATATTATTATTATAAATATAATAACAAAATAATAATAAAATAACTAATAAAAAATTGGTTGCCATGCAGTAGCCTTTTGTAGGTTTGCATTTAAAAAGCTTGCAAGTCACATGGCTTGTAAAATTAAACAAAAATAAATTTAAAATGTCACTTCATAGTTCATATCATGTTGCAAATTTGCAATTGACAACATTTTTGGGATGAGGACAACCTTACAAGGACCGATTCTTATTGCATTAAGGTCTAAGGCAATCATTATATCATAGACTATGGTCTATCTTACAAAAGGTTCATTTTTAATGCACTGAACACATTTTTTACATTTATTTATGATCCATCGATTTGAGGTGTCATTCATAATTTTCACATCACCATATAATTTTCTCTTAAATCTTTCACCCCTTTTTGTCCCTTTTTTGTGGGTAGGCCTCCTTCACACTCCTACACATCATTTATTATTTTATCTACTTTTCTATAATAAATAATTTTAACTTTATAATTATAATTTCTAATTTTGATTTAAAAATAAATAAATTTAAATAATGAAATAAAATATATTCTATAATTTTATAGAAGTGTAGAAAACAAATGAGAGTTAGGATATATTTATAGGTAAAAAATAAAATAAAAACAAAGCTCTCACAACGGTCAAATGAATTTTGACCATTAGCCCCAACGGCTGCCTATTTCAGTCGTTGAGGCTGAATAACTATTTAAATAAATAAAGCAGTCCCCAGTGGTTGCCATCATTTTGACACGTGTCACTCACACGTCACGGCGTTCTGGAAGATAGTCTCCGGAGTCTATCTTTCTCGGTTCCTCACTTCCTCCCCACTCTTTCTTCTCTCCAACCCTATTCTCTTTCTTTCTCTCCATTTTTTGTAAAATAGTTAATTTAGAGATCAATTTTAGTTTATTTCATCACTATTATGTGTGTTTGGTTGGTGGGTTTTGCCCATAAGAATGGGTATGAAAGTGATTGTTGTTGTTTGGTTGATAGGTTTTTAGAACACTACTATAGGTTTCGAATACCCCATTAATTGAAAAACCCATACCCTAAAAAAATAAGGATTTCATTCCCTTATTCATTCTCATGCACTATTATTAGTAAGCATTCCCATTCCACCCTACTACCAAACATGTTAAATACTTTCACCAAAACCCATTACCATTACCAAGTATTTGATACCTATTCCGATTCCGATTCCTATGTGCGAACCAAACACACCCTTAGTTGTTTGACTTAGTTTAAAAATCAATATAAGTGTTTTGTTAATTATTTTTTTTTGTACTCCAAAATGCTAAAATTTAAAAAGCTACTCAAAACAATTTTTTCAATTAACTTTTTGAGAAAAGAAATTATATCAAACAATTATCAGCTAACAACTAATTTACCAAACATCTTTCTACAATCAGCTAATGTTATCAACTAGTTATACCTTCTAATTAATCCAATTAGCTTACAGCTAATCGTCATTAACCAAACAGGGTGGTTCTTAATGGATAATTTTGTTTCACATCATTTTAAAGATTTTAAATTTATCATTCAAAAAAGTGGTAGATTGAAACCCTCATTACCTTAACAAAAAAACACACACACACACAAAACAAAAAGAAACAAAAAAAACAAAAAACAAAAAACAAAACAAAAAAAAAAAAACAAAACAAAAAAACAAAACAAAAAAACAAAAAACAAAAAAAAAAACAAAAAAAAAAACAAAAAAAAAAAGAAAAAAAAAAAAAGAAACAAATGTTAATTTACAAGAAAAAGAAAAAGTAAAAAGTTAGTGGTGTGAATGTTTTGGTTGACCCTTCAATTTACCTTTAACAGGTTGAAAACTGATGGTTATCAATCGTTATGCGTTGGACCTGTGTCCAGCATGCTTGCTGGACACGGGTAACAGTGCCGTTAGGCACTGTTATCTTTTTTTTTTTTTTTTTTTTTTTATTTCAGATCACTTCGTTATAGGAGTATATGTTCATAATTTTATTACTATATGTTAATAACTGTACATTCATAACTCCATAATTGTACGTTCATAACTCTATAACTGTACATTCATAACTCTATAACTGTACATTCATAACTCCATAGCTGTACATTCATAACTCCATAATTATACATTCATAATTTTCGAAGCTCTATGTTCACAATTTTAGAGCTCTATGTTCATAATTTTATCACTATATGTTCATAATTGTAAGTTCATAATATTAGAGCTCTTTGTTCATAATTCGATCAATAACTGTACATTCATAATTCCATAACTGTAGATTCATAATCTCATAACTGTAGATTCATAACTCTATAACTGTACATTCATAACTCCATAATTGTACATTCATAATCTTCGAAGCTCTATATTCACAATTTTAAAGCTCCATGGTCATAATTTTATCACTATATATGTTCATAATTGTAAGTTCATAATGTTAGAGCTCTGTGTTCATAATTTCATAATTGCATAACTGTACATTCATAACGGCATAACTGTACATTCATAACGGCATAACTGTACATTCATAATCCAAAAAAAAAAAAAAAAAATTAACGACGTTAACGCCTTTAACGGCAAAACGCACGCGATTTTTTTTTTTTAACTAAATGACGCGTTTTTTTTTTAAAAACAACATCGTTTTGGATCCGTATCCACAATTCATTATGGACACGGGTCCAGGGCATAATTTGCCCTGATGGTATTCGTTGGCCTAGTTTTGATTATGTGAGGATTTGATTTGTTTGTCAATTGGGTGTCTTCTCCTTTCCGATTAGAAAAAAAAAATGTTTACATTTGAGAAATGCAGGCATCTATCACTAATAGGAAAAAAAACAGAAAAAGCTTTTCATGTCAATTATTTCTTGATCACTTCAATGTTCATTTTTTTCATGTACTAGTTCAACACGTAATAAATTAAAAAATATACGAAGTCAGTTTTTAATATAAAAAATTTACCTTGAAATTTTAATTTAATTTTAAAATAATAATATACTTCGTTTTTTGAACAACCGAATTCCGTGATTTTTTTTAAAAATCCATATCGTAAATATTTATTTTTTTATTAAAAAAATACTTTCAATATCAATTTTAATAAAATCGTCGTTCATAGATGTTTAATATCTTTTATAAAATAATTTTTTAACGATGTTTTAAAAAAATTACCATTAATTTTATTCATTTTTTAATAAAATATGTGATGAGGCCATCGGGGCCATTAGCTTGGTAAGGTCTTCCTGAGAGGAATAAAGGGGAAGGTGATTGTGGGCTTGAAGGTAGAGAGTTCCGAAAGGAGGAGGTGATGAGGTGATGAGGTGTTTTGCTTGGAATGAGAAGGAAAAAAATCTGTCAAATTAGTGAGTTTTTTGTCAATTTGTCGCAATAGGTTAAAAAAGGCAAATTATGCCCTGGACCCGTGTCCACAATGAGTTGTGGACACGGGCCCAAAACAACGTCGTTTTTTAAAAAAAAAACGCGTCATTTAGTTAAAAAAAAAAAAAAAATCACGTGCGTTTTGCCGTTAACGGCGTTATTTTTATTTTTATTTTTTTTGCATTATGAATGTACAGTTATGCCGTTATGAATGTACAGTTATGCCGTTATGAATGTACAGTTATGTAATTATAAAATTATGAACACAGAGCTCTAACATTATGAACTTACAATTATGAATATATATAGTGATAAAATTATGACCATGGAGCTTTAAAATTGTGAATGTAGAGCTTCGAAGATTATGAAGGAGTTATGAATGTACACTTATAGAGTTATGAATCTACAGTTATGGAGTTATGAATCTACAGTTATGAGATTATGAATCTACAGTTATGGAATTATGAATGTACAGTTATTAATCGAATTATGAACAAAGAGCTCTAACATTATGAACTTACAATTATAAACATATAGTGATAAAATTATGAACATAGAGCTCTAAAATTGTGAACATAGAGCTTCGAAAATTATGAATGTACAGTTATGGAGTTATGAATGTATAGTTATGGAGTTATGAATGTACAGTTATAGAGTTATGAACGTACAGTTATGGAGTTATGAATGTACAGTTATTAACATATAGTAATAAAATTATGAACATATACTCCTATAACGAAGCGGTCTGAAATTAAAAAAAAAAAAAAAAAAGAGATAACAGTGCTTAACGACACTGTTACCCGTGTCCAGCAAGCATGCTGGACACGGGTCCAACGCATAACGATTGGTTAAAAAACACGCCAATTTGACGAGTCATAAAACTCAAAGCTTATCCTACACTTTTTGCAAGGCATAAAGGGCTAGCCTAGCGAGCTACCCTTTTTGACGACTCTAGACTCATGTGGGACAGTCAATTCGGTCATGTGGACTGAGGCCTGGCCTAATCGGACCGACATAACCAATGTGGGTTTTATTTTATTTTATTTTTTTTTGGCCAATCGCATTTGGAAAATGCGTTTGGTCAAAAATATATATATTAAGCGCATTTCAAAAATGCATTTGACATATATAGATATGCAACATGTATTTTCGATTTACGTTTGTGCAGTGGCGGAGGCAAGTGTGTGCCTTGGGGGCCTTGTCCCCCTCTCCGCAATTTTATTAATATTATACTAGTTTTTTACGCGCATTGCGCGATTGGCATAATGTCCAATGTTTTGTTTTAAATAAGTACTTTAAAGTATATATCAATGCAAAATTATATTGGAATTGTTCATGCATATATAATTAAATGTTGAATTTGTGTATTTAAATAGGTAATTCTAAGTTTACAAATGCAAGATAATATAGTCAAGATTGATTATAATTGTCAATAAAATAATTGTATAGGTATGATTGAAACCAAATACGAGACATAAAGGAGATCAAATAAAAATTAGGGCATAAAATATTAAATATATACTAATATTGAAGAGCTAACTGCTAATTGTCAAACAAGGACATTGCGAGGTAGTTTCCCATCTTAATTTATTGTGTGATTTGAATACTTTTTTTATCAATAAATCCCTCAAGTAGTTAATATGATTGGCTTAATTATATTTTTTTAAAAATATTATTATTATTATTATTATTATTATTATTATTATTATTATTATTATTATTATTATTATTATTATTATTATTATACCCTAGGTCATTTTACAGGTTAATCTAAACAGCTAACTTTTTCAAATATCTTTTACCAACCGTTGATATAATTCGCTAGTCAAATCCGCTAATATAATCCGCTAACGCTAATCGCTAACTGCTGATTGCCAAACAAGGACAATGCGAGATAGTTTTCACTTCAATTTGTTGTGTGATTTGAATACTTTCTTTGTCAACCAATCCATCAAGTAGTTAATATGATTATGTTTATTAATTATATACTCCGTATTTTTTTAATTTTTTCATGGTATTAATAAAATACTTGGTAAATATATATATATATATATATATATATATATATATATATATATATATATATATATATATATATATATATATATATATATATATATATATATATATATATATATATATATATATAGCATTGTTTTGTTTTATAACTTTGATATTTAATTAAAAAAATAGTGCACAAAAAAGATAATAGACAATATAGCGAATATAATCAATTGATGAATTTGAATGTAAAGAATTTTTACATTAGAGAAAAATAAAGACAATATAACTAATAAAATTATTTCTCTTAATTAATTTATTGATAATGAATATTTTTTTTTTTAAATAAAGACATTGTAGGCACAATGTAGCGAATATAATCCATTGATGAATTTGAATATAAAGAATTTTTATATTGGAGAAAAATAAAGACAATATAACTAATGAAATTATTTCTCTTATTTAATTTATTGATAATGAATAAATTTTTTTGAATAAAGACATAGTAGACACATAATTCTAAATTAAAGAAATACATATGTAATTTTTTTTTAATTATTAAATTATTATTTAATTTAATAAGAGTAAAATAGAGTACTAATTATGCCAACTTTGATTGGGATGTGGTTCGAACTTAAAGACATTTCTTATTGAAATCAATAAGTAAGTTAACGGTGAACTAACAGAAATTAACGGAAAAGATAATATTTAACGGAAAAGTTAATGGATAATCATATTCATTAAGGATAAATTAGGAAATCTTTAAGGAAAAATTAAAATATGATCAATCTGAGTCATCATTCATTTAATTAAAAAACTTGACTGCCATTTTTTCTACCCATTATAGGCCTAACTCTCTTGGGCTCTCATTAGTATAGTACTAGTTTTTTACGCGCATTGCTCGATTGAGATAATGCCCAATGTTTTTTTTTAATAAGTACTTTAAAGTACATCAATGTAGGATTATATTAGAATTGTTCATGCATAAATAATTGAATGTTGAATTTGCGTATTTAAATAGGTAATTCTAAATTTACAAATGCAAGATAAGATAGTCAAGATTGATTATAATTGTCAATAAAATAATTGTATAGGTATGGTTGAAACCAAATATGGGACATAAGGGAGAGCAAATAAAAATTAGGGCATAAAATTTTAAATATATACTAATATTGAAGAGCTAATTATTGATTGTCAAACAAGGGCATTGTGAGGTAGTTTTTCCACTTCAATTTGTTGTGTAATTTGAATACTCTTTTTGTAAATAAATCCCTCAAGTAGTTAATATGATTGGCTTAATTATATTTTTTTTTTATATTTATTTTTTATTTTTTAAAACTATTATTATTATTATTATTATTATTATTATTATTATTATTATTATTATTATTATTATTATTATTATTATTATTATTATTATTATTATTATTATTATTATTATTATTATTATTATTATTATTATTATTATTATTATTATTATTATTATTATTATTGTTATTATATGTATACCCTTAGGTCATTTTACATGTTAATCTAAAAAGTTAATTTTTTCAAATATCTTTTTATCAACCGTTGATATAATTCGCTGGTCAAATCAGCTAATATAATCTGCTAACGCTAACCGCTAACTACTGATTGTCAAACAAGGACATTACGAGATAGTTCTCACTTCAATTTGTTGTGTGATTTGAATACTCTCTTTGTCAACAAATTCCTCAAGTAGTTAATATGATTTGCTTTATTAATTATGTTTTTCTTAATTTTTTCATGGTATTAATAAAATACTTGGTAAATAAATATATAACATTATTTTGTATTATAACTTTGATATTTAATTAAAAAAAATAGTGCACAAAAAAGATAATAGACAATGTAGTGAATATAATCAATTGATAAATTTGAATGTAAAGAATTATTACATTAGAGAAAAATAAATACAATATAATATAATATAATTATTTCTCCTAATTAATTTATTGATAATGAATATTTTTTTTAATAAAGTCATTGTAGGGACAATGTAGCGAATATAATCAATTGATGAATTTGAATGTAAAGAATTTTTATATTGGAGAAAAATAAAGACAATATAACTAATGAAATTATTTCTCTTATTTAATTTATTGATAATGAATAATTTTTTTGAATAAAAACATTGTAGATACATAATTCTATATTAAAGATCGAAATGCATATGTATTATTTTTTTGTTGTAACTGCTAAATTATTATTTAATTTAATAAAAGTAAAATAGAGTACTAAATATGCCAACTTTGATTGGGATGGGGTTCGAACTTCGAACTTAAGACATTTCTTATTGAAATCAATGTTGTTCCAAAATGCTGAACCCCAACCCTAAGGGCCTTCTTATTGAAATCAATGAATAAGTTAACGGTGAACTAACTGAAATTAACGGAAAAGATAATATTTAACGGAAAAGTTAACGGATAATCATATTCATTAAGGATAAATTAGTAAATCTTAAGAAAAAATTAAAATCTAATCAATCTGAGCCATTCATTTGATTAAAAAAAAAAAAAAAAAAAAAAAAAAAAAACTTGACCGCCATTTTTTCTACCCATTATAGGCCTAACTCTCTTGGGCTCTTATTAGTATAGTAGATATAGTAGATAGTAGATATATAATATTAATTTTTTGTAAAGAATATTATATAAAATATTAAAATTTTATTGTTCCTTCCAAATATTTGGTCCCCCTCCCACTCAAATTAATCTTACAGGCTAAGTTATAAACTTCATCTTCTCAACTTCTTCAATATTCTCTCATTTCAAATTATGTATTCCTATATTGTTGATCACATTCAAATTAAGCCTCATTTAATCTACATATTAGTTTCTCTCTCTATAACCATACATATATGCATCATATATGCTATAACAAGATAATTTGTTACTATTAAAATCTATGAAAATATTTTTTAAGTTAATGTTGGTGTTTTTTTTTTTTTTTTTTTGCTTTTTTTTCTTTAATTATTTCTAACTACTTGTTTTGTTAATTTTTGTTTCATATTCTATTGTTTATTTTAAATAGTTGTTTTGTTTGATTCTAAATAATAGATATCACGGTGCATTTGTTTGGTTAATTATGCAGATTTGTAGTTATGTGATAAATTTTATATTTAATTTAACATGCATAATAATGTAAAAGTTGTGTAGGATATATATTTGAGAAAACAATTGTTATTATGTTATGTTGTGAAGAGGGTAGTTTTCAAGAAATAGTCAATAGTCTTTTAAAACATGCGGGAATATTTCATTCTTTCAACCGTACAAAGTAATGTACATTGAAAAGCATATTACAAAATAATTATTATAAATTCAATTATAATAATTGATTTATTCTAAACTTTATTAAATTTGTAACGTATGTAATGATTATTTTGAGATATGTTAATTGGATATCAATGTATTTGGAGTTTATATATATCAGTACAATGATTTAAGTGCAATGTAGGTATGATTGACTAATAGTACAGTTTTGATGGGGGATAAGATGGAGAGACTTTAAAAAAGGAACAAGAAAACAAAACCATCCTTCAAAATCCACTCATTCTAGGCACAGTCCAAACTCCAAACACCACCCGTGACCTCCAAAATCCACTCACCCTTCACGGACTCTAAACTTATGGCTCACAATTATCTCTTTTACTTTCTTTTTTTTTTTCTCAATCATTCCTTTTTTAGGAAGGAATTGTCACTTCTGAGAATTGAATCCGAATTATCTCAAAAAAATTTTTTACAAAGAGAGTTCATTTGTCACTTGAGCTATCATATTATATTGGCAATTTTAGTCTCATTGACCAAATCAACTACTTTAGTGGCAAAAATAATCCTAATGGACTAAAATCACCATTTCACGCATTTTTAACAGGTTAAAATGATCATACATATAACCAAAAGACTAAATTTATGTCATCAGAGATATAACTGAAGGACAAAAAATGCAATTTTCCCTTCATTTACTTCTCCTTCTCCCTATAAATTCAAGAACATGCAACCTCATTCCATCAACCCATTGGCCATTGCAGACAACCTTAATTAGCACTACGAACTGCCAAAAATGGAGAATAATAATAATGTCTTCATCGGAAACAAAACACCCATGGCTATTCTCATGATAATGTCCATCATCCTTGCAGCCAACATTTTCCATGGAGATTGCTACACTCTGTGCAACATGACTGATGATGGGCTGCAGGCATGCAAGCCATCTGTGACGCTGCCGGACCCGGTGGACCCGCCGTCGGCCGCCTGCTGCACCGCCCTCTCCACGGCTGACCTGCCGTGCTTGTGCTCGCAGAAGGGCTCCCCCATGCTGTCCTTCCTTGGGATTGATCCTGACCTTGCCATGGCTCTTCCAAAGAAGTGTAATCTCACCCCTCCTGCCAATTGTTAGGGTCTCATCTTATACTTTTTGCACTGCAATTATATTATCTTAATTGTGTGAATTAACACCTCATTATGTTCTATGGCATTAACCCAAATCCTCTGTGCTTGTTTTAAGTAATTACCAGTTAAGTTGTATGAGTGATGTCTTGTGATATATATTATGAATGTTATGTTTGGTTCTAGTGTCGGATCTAGAAAATCATCTGAGTAGGGGCGAATATTAAATGACATTAGAAATGTCAATGACAAAATATCAAACAACTATAATAAGGTTAAAATACAAAATACATTATAAATTACAATATTGAAAAAAATATGAAACATAATCAATTAGATAAAATAATTTGAGTAACAATATATTCATAAATACTTTTAAATTTTACTTTCTTTTAGTTAGATTGATTTTTCTAAATTAATTCGAATACAATAAAGTATATTATAAACTTTTTTGAGTGTCACTGGCTCTATTACACTGTAGTATCTGTTCAAAGTATATTATAAACTTGTATACTACATTAATTAAATAATTTATAAAAACTAGACTAAAAAGAGCATTTAATTTGTTAATTAAATGATTGAGAGAAGATAATTAAAAGTTGTGCTAATGAGATTTGAACTCATGACATAAGGCTTTTATAACATAAAATTTAGAACTCAACCAACTAAACTACTCAGACTATTCATATTTTCAACATAAATATAAATTTTATATAATATTTTATGCTATATATGTATACATATATATAAAGAGGTGGGATGGAGTGGGGTGAGGGGAGTGGAGACAGCTGCTCCCACACTGGGTCCGCCCATGTTTGGTTCTTTATTTTACTTAATTTAGCATGAATTGGTTGGTTGGTTCTTCCCAACCCTCTATATGAGACTAAAGAATAAGACGATGTGACCAAAAGTTATATATATATATATATATATATATATATATATATATATATATATATGACAATGACCAAAAGAGATTAATGTGATTAAAAGTTAACTATGAACACACTAAAAGATAGTTAGATGTTACTATTAAAAGCAAATAAGTGTGTCCAAAGTCAAAAGTTTTGTCAAGGAATATTTCTTTTTGAATTTTGCGGCACATCTTTACTTTTGATAGCTGATCTTCTCTTTTGATTTTGTCATAGTTAGTTTTTAATCACATTAGTCTCTTTTTTATTATGGTCATATCTTCTTTTCTTTTAGCTTTTGGTCACATTGTCTACTTCTTTGGTCTCATCAAGTTAGTTCTTGTCTTCCACTTAACTATAACCACGGTTCGGTTCAAATTACCCAGCCAACTCAGCAACTCTCGTCTCTCAATTTTCAAAATTTCAATACTTTCATTCAGTCATTCTATCACTCTCTGAAATCTTTATACCTATACTCCTACAATTCTCAATACTCTCATTATCTAAACTCTCAATACTTCTCAATTCCTAGTTTACGTTTTTATTTATTTCTACTTCTATCATTTTTAAGTTTTTATACTTTCAAATGGATAGTTGAAGCAGAGCATCTTTCTCTTATGATGGTCAAGTTAGTGGTAGTCGTGGCAACTCTTCTTCTTTTGAACCTCCATGACATTCACTTCATGAGTCCCAAGAGAATCTTATTCTTTTGAACATCCATGGCATTCGGTTCATGAGTTTCCAAGCGAATATCAATACCATCAATTTTTATAACAACAGTCATACTACCAAGACTTAAATCCAAACCCCTAACTAGCCATAAATGAACCTCAACCCACCTCTTTTGGCTCTCAACTTTTTTTATTTTTCTTTTGATTCTAATAATGCTACTTTCTAGCGGAACGATGAAGCCGAAGGAGTTCAACCTTCCAAACAGAAATTTGATCTTTTCAAGATACATATGAAGAAAATTGAACATCTTGATGGAAGAATTACAGTAAAATAATTATTGCGATAATGAATACTAATGGTCAAAATTCAGTGGCTACGAGATGTACCAGAAGCATATAAGCTCAAAGCATCCGAAAAAAGATGTAAATACACAAACTCAACAACAAATTAGCAGGTACACCACTAAATCAAATGCTTTATTTTGTTATTCAGGTGAGCATACTAGACGCAAGTTTGCTGAAATGATTGCAATTGATGGTTTATCTTTTAGTTTTGGACAAAAGGTTGATTTTAAAGAATTTTGCCTGGGTGCATTAAATGCTCAAATGTGTGATTTATCTCGTACAACTGCTACTCGTCATTTGTATAAAATACATAAAGATGAAAAAAAATTGATTTCATGTTTGGAATCACATTCTGAGCATGTGATTGTATGTGCTGATATTTGGAGCGACCGTGGGAGGGAACATTCATATTTGGGTGTTACATGTCATCGGATAGATAATATATGATTGGGTGCTAAATAAAAGAATTCTTGCTTTTCGTTGTTTTGATGAACAACACAATGCACATAAAGCAACGAAAACAAGAATTCTTTTATGCAGCACCCAATCATATATTATCTATCCAATGACATGTAACACCCAAATATGAATGTTCCCTCCAATGATTGCTCCAAATATCAGCACATAGTCACACGCCCAGAATGTGATTCCAAACATGAAATCAATTTCTTTTTTTTTTCATCCTTATGTAATTTATACAAATGACGAGTAGCAGTTCTACGATGTAAATCACACATTTAAGGATTAATGCACCACAACAAAATTCTTTAAAACCAACCTTCTGTCCAAAACTTAAAGATAAACCATCAATTGCAATCATTTCAGCAAATTTGCGTCTAGTTTGCTCATCTGAATAACAAAATAAAGCATTTGATTTAGTGACGTACCTCCTAATTTGTTGTTGAGTTTGTGTATTTACCTCTTTATCCGGATGCTTTGAGCCTATATGCTTCTGATACGTCCCGTAGCCATCGGATTTTGACCATTGGTACTCATTATTGCAATATAATAATTACATTTTACTGTAATTCTTCCATTCGGATGTTCAATTGTCTTCATGTGTATCTTGAAAAGAGATTTTTGTTTGGAAGGTTGAACTCCTTTCGCTTCATCGTTCTGCGAGAAAGTAGTATTGTTAGAATTTTTTTTTAAAAAAAAAAAAAGTTGAGAGCCAAAAGAGGTGGGTTGAGGTTCATTTATGGCTAGTGGGGGGTTTAGATTGAAGTCTTGATTGTTGTTGTAAAAATTGATGGTATTTATATTCGATTGAAAACCCATGAACGGAATGTTGTGGAGGTTCAAAAAGAGATTTGCCACGACTGCCACTAGCTTGGTCATCATAAAAGAGAGATGCTCTGCTTGAACTATCCGTTTGAAAGTATAAAAAATTAAAAATGATAGAAATAGAAATGTAGAGTTGTAGAGATATCAAAAACGTAAGCTAAAGGAATTGAGAAGTATTGATAGTTCAGAAAATGAGAGTGTAGACACTTAAATTTTGATAAATATTGAATATTTATCAATATTAGTATATTTGAATATATTTGAAATATTTTGGATAATATTGATATTATCTAATTTGTTAATTAGATAATATAAAAAGAGTTTGAGTTTATCAAAACTCTCTATCCTACAGCTATAAATAGGGCATTTCATTTCTATGTAATCACACAAATCCTAGGAAAAGTGATGTAAACATCTAGAAAAATATTATTCAGGATCACAATAAAAAATGTGATACTGAAAGTAGAAGTCCCTCCTAATGATCATGCCTATGCCTATTGATCCAAACCTCTATTGAAGATCAAGTCATTTGAACCCGGAGGCCCTTCAAGAAGAACAAGCTATATATACAATCCCCTCTTTGAAGATTAAGCCACTTGAAACCCGGAGGCCCTTCAATGGTGGAGTGTTCAAGACATCAATTGGAGAATCAGAGGACCATCCAGAGACTTGTACCCACCCCGCATTGATATACTTGACATGTAACTAGAATTTTGAATATTATTATATTTTATTCAATTTTCTTTGTTCACAAATTGACACTCCTGGTGGGACAGCTCTGCCTCTCATCTCTTCATAGGCACTTTCAATCGATATGGGGGCAAACCCTGTATGAAATTTGAAACAGAGGAAGCTAAATGATACTCCTTGGCAAGAGTTTAAACGACCTTATATTCAGACTCCTTGGCACGAGTTTAAACGGCCTTATATCTTTCAAGGCTCCTTGGCACGAGTTGAAACGACCTTATATCTTTAAGTTGTAGTGTCGAGACTTTCTTGCACTACATACTTTCGAGTGTTATATGCTCTCAAGTGGTGTACAAGCAAGTCTCGAGGGGGCATTTGTAGACACTTAAATTTTGATAAATATTGATTATTTATCAATATTAGTATATTTAAATATATTTAAAATATTTTGGATAATATTGATATTATCTAATTTGTTAATTAGATAATATCAAAAGAGTTTGAGTTTATCAAAACTCTTCTATCCTACACTATAAATAGGACCTCTTATTTCTATGTAATCACACACATCTTAGGAAAAATCATAGAAAGAACTCTGAAGCTTATTCAGAAATCACAATAAAAATGTGATCTTGAAAGTAAAAGTACTCATCCAATCCAATCATGCCAGTTGATACAAACCTCCATTGAAGATTAAGCCACTTGAAACCCGGAGGCCCTTCAAGAAGAACAAGCTATACAAGCCCTTCTTTGAAGATCAAGCCACTTGAAACCCGTAGGCTCTTCAATGGTGGAGTGTTCAAGGCATCCAATTGAAGAATCAGAGGACCATTCAGAGACTTGTACCCACACCCCATTGATATTTGACATGTAACCAGAATTTTGAATATTACTAAATTTTATTCAATTTTCTTTGTTTACATATTTTGAATAAAATATAATAATATTCAAAATTCTAGTTACATGTCAAGTATATCAATGCGGGGTGGGTACAAGTCTCTGGATGGTCCTCTGATTCTCCAATTGATGTCTTGAACACTCCACCATTGAAGGGCCTCCGGGTTTCAAGTGACTTAATCTTCAAAGAGAGGATTGTATATATAGCTTGTTCTTCTTGAAGGGCCTCCGGGTTCAAATGGTTTGATCTTCAATAGAGGTTTGGATCAATAGGCATAGGCATGATCATTAGGAGGGACTTCTACTTTCAGTATCACATTTTTTATTGTGATCATGAATAATATTTTTCTAGATGTTTACATC